GTCGCAAAACTGAAATAATAGATAGTAAAATTTAAACCTATGGGGTCGGAGTTTATCTATTACCACATAAAAAAGGTCTTTAGCCCTTTTGATACTTCACTACTAATATTTATTTCATGCGATTATTTCTAGAAAGATATTTTTGCACTTACAAAGTCCATCAATCTAAGAAACTTTTTATACTCGCGCAACCTATTGATACAGAGTATAATATTTTTGTTTACCTAACGGTTGTTTGTATCACCTAAAACTAATCGAGTTAGATATAAGCTTATATTATATATATATATATATGATCAGGATGCAGAGACGGGTTGAAATCCGGGTGACTGTCTGTCCGTCCAACTGTGCAAGCTGTAACTTGAGTAAAAACTGAGATATCTTTATGAAACTTGGTACACATGTTTCTTGGTACAATAAGACAGCTAGTATTGCAGATGGGTATAATCGGATCACTGCCACGCCCACAAAACGCCAATAATCAAAAGCAAATAAATTATCATAATTAAGCTCCAAAATGAGAAACAAGACTGTTATTTGGTATACAAGATCACAGCAGGGTGGGGCATCTGCAGTTAAATTTGTTTTTAAAAAGTGCGCGTGATCCGCGCCCTAATAAGTTTAATGTGAATGTCTCCTAAACCGCTAAAGCTATAATAATAAAATTCAGCGAGAACAAATGTTTTCAGCACCTCTATCGACAGTGTAAAGATAACGGTACTGTTAAACAGTACTAAACACGACAGATACATTTAATTTTATCTCTGGGATGGTATGAGATGACTTTATAGGTGACCGTGTTCTAAATTATATAGTGGGCGTGGCATCGCCTACTTTTAAGTGAAAACCCATATCTTGGGATCTGCTTAACCGATTTCAAAGTTTGTACATAACATTGTTCTCATATTTTTATATATAGTGCGAAAATGGGCGAAATCGATTTACAACCATGCCTAATTCCCATATAACACCATTTTAAATTCCATCTAATTCGTTCACTTCACAATTAACTCACAAATCAAGCAACAATGATTGCAACGGGGTAAAACTTTGCGTGAATAATACTTTTGAAGTATGCCACCTTGTGACCAAAAATTGTCTAAATCGAACCAAAACTGTTCAAGCCCCTAGGTACTGAATATGTGGACCACAGTGCCTATAGTTAACTTTTTACCAAAAATATCGGTCAATGTGTAAGATATATAATTGATAATTCATATAATAAAATAAATAAATGAAACTCTCGATAATAGTGTGTCTTTGTGTCAGAAATTAGTTGATTCGGATCAATACTTCCTTTAATATAAAATTTTGTCAACACCTGAAGTAATTTCCCGGACTTTGATCCTTGCAAGTTGCGAGAGTATAAAATGTTCGGTTACACCCGAACTTAGAACTTCCTTACTTGTTTATTACTAACTTCCTTTTCGCCTTGAATTTCCCAGTTAATAAATGCAACTTATGAATTCTGATAACTATAATAAGTAAACAACTGCAATAAAATAGATAAGACTTACATTGTAATTTTTTTAATGTTTATAATAAAAACTGCATTGATGGTAGTACCATATCTTGCAGTTGGTATATTTCCGTAATTTGTTCTTTCAAGCTTTAATACTTCTCTCAAGTGGAGCAGATAGCTCTTTCTCAAAATCTGTATTGAAATCCCTAAACAAAATAATAAGCATTCGCGAATATATTGCTCGGAGAACTTAGCAAATGGTACTAAATTACAACCCAAAATGTCCATGACATCATTTATTTTTTGATTTTCTTAAACATAAATTATCTTTATTATCAAATCAACAAATAGCTGCACAAAAATCTTTCACAACAGATTCGGAAGCAGTTCCTTGACTAATACTGATGATATTTAAGTAAATGACATTTCCGATTGAATTTTTAATTAAGCGGCAAGAGTAATCTGTGGATTTAATGAGAGTTGCTCCAGTTTTATTACATATGAATATATAAATATGTACTTTGTGCAATTCGACAATATTAGCAATGTACAGATTGGTTGAAAAGTTTCTGCGCTCGACATAACCTCTGCAAAATACTCGTCTACGGCTGTAATAGCTTCTTCATTCGACGAAAAACGCTTTCCACGAAGGAATTGTTTCAGGTTTCTGAAGAGCTTGTAGTCGCTGGGAGCCAAATCTGGTGAACAGAGTTGATGCTAAAGCAATTCGTATTTTAATTCGTTGAATTTGTCATTGTTAAAACACTTTTGTGAGCAGGTGCATTGTCTTGATGAAAAATAATATTTTTGCTGATCCACATTCAAGCTGCATAATATTCAGAGTTGATTGTTTTACTCTTCTGCAGATAATCAACCAACAAAATTCCTTTTGCATCTCAAAAGACTGATGCCATAACCTTCTTTGCTAATCGTTGTGACTTCACCTGCTTTGGAGCTGAACAACCAGCTTCAGTCCACTATAAACGTTCTTGTTTCAATTTAGGACCATGGTGGTAGATCCAAATATCATCCATAATTATAAAACGACGCAGGAAATCGGTTTTATTCTGCTATAAATGCTCTAAATTATGCTGAGAAATTTCTTTTCGATCCTTTTTTGTTGAATTGTTAACGTGGGCGGCACTAACTTTCCAAACAGTCTTTTCATATGTAATTGTCCATGTAAAATATGAAATACTCGTTCGTCTGAGATGCTTATGGCATGAGCAATTTGACGCTTAGTCATACTTGGATCTTCACTAACAATATTATGAACTTGATAAATGATTTCTGGTACGGTTGCGGTTTTTGGTGTTAATTCACCATCCCAAAATTCAACGGTGCGTTTTGAAGTTGAGGACTCGTTATTCACTTTTAACAATTGTTTATACGGGGAAACATTAGTATACCATACCGCGATTTCAGGGTTAAGAGGGGTATGGTTGTATAGAGGAGATTCTCCAGATCACGAATATATATAATTATTGCCGTGGGAAACTTATAGTTTTGGAGGTATTTTCATTTTAAATTGAAAATTTCACAAATTTTATCTTACAATTTCTAGATTTATGGTTAACTTTTCTTTTATATTATGCACTTATTATACACTAACATTTCACTACAAAGTTTCTACGTATTTATTTTGTATTAATTAATTTAATATTTGCTTTAAATTAGAATTTTATTTTTACACAATTTTCGTTAGATGCGCAATAACAAATGGGTTCCATATTGACAGATAATAAGTGTTGCCATATGCCAACGAATGAAAGCAATCAAAATAAATAAAATACCCAATTACGCTCTACAAAATTAACTAATATGCACAATATTTACAAATTCAATAACAAAACGGACAAAAAAAGAAACGGTATCTTGTTTAGTTGTAACAATATCCGTTATAATTCGTTAGAAAAAATGAAATTTAAAGAGAGTGATATACGCTCTTTAACATTACTTTTTTTGGTTAGATTTCCTATTTGCAATAGCGGCCTTCGTCCGCGCTTCAAAAAAATAACCCTGGCCGATTCAATACCGGGGTGGTCGTTATTCCTTTCCAACTTCTTTCTGCATTGGAGGCCTTCGGCCGCGCTTTAAAAAAATAACACTGGCCAATCCAATACCACGGTTGATCAAGAGAAGGGAACGATTAATATTATGGTTCATGTATTTGGGGTATAATCTTCTATTATTCATTTTAATTCATTTGCAAAATATAAATATATACAATAAAATAGATATGACAACACTTATTATCTGTCAATAATAATATATATGTGCATATAACAAAAATTGTGTAAAAATAAAATGTTTATTTAAAGCAAATATTAAAATAATTAATATAAAATAAATATGTAGAAACATTGTAGTGAAGTGTAAGCGTATAATAAAAGCATAATAAAAAACAAAAAATAACTATAAATAGAGAAATTGTAAGATAAAATTTGGGAAATTTTCAACTTAAAATGCGAATATCTCGAAAAGTATAAGTTTCTCCGGCGGTTATAATTATATATATTCTTTATCTGGAGAATCTCCTCTATCCAACCTCTTAACACTGAAATCGTGGGATGGTATACTAAAGCCGACCAGTTCATACATTTCTTTTGCTTTTAAACTTTTCAAACCAAAGAATGTAATCACTGCACGATATAAAATTTTTTCCATATTAAAAAAATACTAAAATACTCTGACACGTCAACTTGAATTGGCTTGTAAACAAAGAATTAATTGACAGAATTACTTGTAATTTTGCATGTGTTCTCATGACAGATGTACCAACTTGAGAAAAAAAATTGGAGTATCGATATTTTTTGGTGCATACCTATTTTTCTATGAATGCATTTAAATATATGCCTACATGCTTACGTATCGAAGTATCCCAACTCAGATACTATATACATATGTACATCGACTAACTTTCAGAAAAAACGACATTCATATTTATTAAAATTATTTTTTTTGTTTTTCTAGTTTATGGTTGATCGCAAATATGATTATTTCAGGGACCGTAATCATTATAAGTTCTATTCTAAAAATAACGTAAAAATAATTATATATTGATTTTCTTCACAGATAATGATTAATTTTATAATAAATTATAAATAATACTTTTTTTATCAAAATAATGTTTTAGTTTACCACGCCCCATTTCCGTCCCTCTGAAAATTAGAAAATACTGAGTATTAAGTGTAATTTTGAGCAATGGGCAAATTTTTACACAGGATATATGTACATATGTCCTGTATGGTCCCTGGATTATTTGGTTGGATATTGATGTTTGGAATTTTCGTTGAAATTTACATACAAGTATACATTTGTATACAGTTTGTTAGCCATTCGTGCAAGTTTGTATGTATGCGATTGCGCATATCATAAAAAGTTTCACTTTAAAATTAGTCTATCCGTTTAAATGATTGCCGCTAAGGATTTTTACAACGAGCATTGATTTTTAAGTCAGAAAAAATAGCTAGATATATGTAATTTATGTTTATGATAATGAATTCTTCAATTTTCAACTCATTAATTAATATTTCAGATGTCAAGCCGGAACAGGTCGATGTATTGTGGACAAAGCACATAGAAATCAGTGTCAAGCTTGCCGCCTTAAGAAGTGCCTTCAAATGGGGATGAATAAAGATGGTCAGTATGAAATATTCGCTTAATATTATTTTACTGAACACAACAATGGATACTTTAAAGTTAAAGATTCCCTTGTTCAATAAATTGAGAAATGCAACTCAAATTCGTTTATTTATATAGATATATTGGCAAATAACTTATTTAGTAACAAATATTTGATCCATAACACTATGCTTTGTAGAATGGAAGGAGACCAAGCTTTCATAGTTACTGTAAACGCAAATATTCTCTTTCTTTAGTGGTTTTTATTCAAAATAGTAACTAGGCGATACCGTGGTAAAATGTATTGTTAAAAGATCTTCTTTGGATATTTCATGAGCATGAAAAAAGCAATAACAGCCATTTTGGAAAATTATGATAGGCCCTCAATTTTAAATGCAGTATACAATATATCTTTGATAATATACATATGACGATTTTCAAGATATTTAATCGATAATTTTCTCCAAAAGATCTAAGGACTATTTAAATGGGAATATATCGTCCTTTATCGAGGTGTCTTAAAAATTTTGTTGTATTTTACATTAAATAACTCAATAATAATTAATCCACCATATAACAATTTTTTTTAAACAAACTAATTCTTCATAATTGTTCCATAATCCGATACTTTTGTAATAAAGATTTCCCATAACTATAAATGAAAATATCGGGTTTTCCAAAGCGATGATATTATTTCTAAGTGTCGTTTCGGCCATTTTTAATATGTTATGATCGTAACTTTTTTTCATTGTATTCAGTAATGTTTACAATTTCATCATGGAAAGATATACATTAAACAACGTTCACAAATTATTCAATTTTATTATCAAAATAAATAAAAATTTTATTATCAAAAAACTTTTCGTGCGCTTTTGCCATTTTATGGTTGTAATAATCGTCAATGGAGAGCGATATAGATCTATGATAACCAGCTTTTATGGCCGTAATTGGAGGAAGTTGATCTTGACAACATGTCGTTTCAACAAGAGGGGCTACGTGCCACACAGCACGTGCAATAACCGAATTATTGCGAGAAAAGTTTGGAGATTCAATAATTTCAAGAAATTGTGAAATTGAATGGGTTCCAAGAATTTATGATTTAACAGCATATTTGGTTATTTGAAGTCATTGGTTTTTAGCAATAAACCAGAAGTTTTAGAAGTCAATATTTAACGTGCCATCCGACTTGATTTAGTGGAAAAAGTACTCGAAAATTGGGTTCATCGAATTCGTTCCTACAAACGAAGTCGTGGAGGATATTTGAATGAGATTATATTCAGAACTTAATTGTATCGATTTTATTTCACATCAAATAAAAACATTTGAATTTCCTCAACAACTGGTGTGTTTTTTTGTGAAAAAAAAATCATATCACTCTTGTTGAAAAACCCTGTAGCCCTATTGAATAGCATTCAGTCACACAGCTAAAAGTACGTACCCTACATCTCCTTGTTCTGCAAAACAAATCTTTATTTAATTAAATAAATATAAAATGAAATGCTTCGAAATTTTATAAAACGTAGATAATCAATTTCGTAGCGCAAAAAATTATATGTACACACTTTTGTTCGATTTGCAGAAAAGTCTACACCTATTATATTAATTAGTTAGTACTTATGTGGGTTCCTTTGCCTGTACTATCGTCCATTGTATAAATCTACAAGTAACCAATCCTAAGATTTTCATATGTCATTGTAATGTCAATTATCATTAGTCTAACAACTAGAGGAATGTGCGGATATACATACATACATACAAGGTGCGTTCCAAAGTAAACACGACTTTTAAAAAAAAAAGCCAGAACAAATGGTTTTATCGGCAAAATCAATTAATTTTATTCGAAATAGTCTCCTCGAACGAATGTTTTAGCTCGTTGTCCGGTATGGCCGCCAGTATGCCGGTGCAAGCCTTTTGAAAGGCTTCCACGTCTGCATAACGCTTTTCTTTCATCGGCAAATGCAGTTTTCCGAAAAGGTAGAAGTCGCACGGTGCCATATCAGGTTAAAATGTGATTTTTGGTCAAATAATCGGCCACAAGTGTCGATCGATGAGACGGCGTATTGTCGTGCAACAAACGCCAATTTCCATCTTCGCGATATTCGGGCGAACACGTCGAATACGGGGCACCAAACACTTCAAAACTCCAAGGTAGAATACCGCATTTGGATTGGCGCGATTTTTTGGGTTTCGGCTCATTTCTCATTTATGTCCTCATGACCACTTTGAAAACGTTGAAACCACTCGTGCACTCTGCTACGGGATGGGCAATCATCGCCATAAGCTTGTTTCATCAATTGAAACGTTTCGGTAAAAGTTTTACCAATTTTAAAACAAAATTTATTGTTGGCTCTTTGTTCGAAGCTCATTTTCGCACCGATGACAAAAACATACTGACACTTAAACGCCAATAACTTCACTTCCAATAGATGAAATGTCATGAAGCTTTTACTTCTAACGCACTAGTCGACATATAGATGTCGCCACTAGAGTTTACTTTGTTACTCTTTTACTGTTTACTTTGAAACGCAGCTTGTAAATAACGTATATATTTGTAAATACATACATATATAATATGTATCGATTTTACTGATACATACATTCATATGTGTATGTATATTAACATGTTTATTATATTTTTTGTAACAGTCTAAAGAATTAGAGTGGATGTCATTCCTATACTATTTAAATCTATTTAAACATTTAAATGGCCAGTGGCGGTGGCACGTGACCTTTAAACAATTACGCATCTCCTCATGCAAACTCGTTCAAAATCAGCATGCCTAGTAAGGCATATTGAAATTACTGAGTATATAGCGTATGTAACCAGTACATTTTCTCACCTTTAAGGCTTAAAAGCTGCTGTCATGTCGTGCATTTAGATTACAGGATGTATTCACTTGGAATTTCGATGACAAGTCATTATAAGTGCTGTGTGTGGTTAACACATCCCGAATTCATTTATTTTCCAATTACAGCAGTGCAAAATGAGCGACAGCCGCGAAACACAGCCACTATACGGCCTGAAACGCTGCGGGAGATGGAACACGGGCGAGCTTTGCGGGAAGCGGCCGTAGCTGTTGGAGTGTTTGGGTAAGAATTTTAGCTATAAAAATGAGCATGCATTCAATATAATATTTTCAATTTGAGCAATTTCATCCTTTAATTTCATTTTTTCTATATATTATATTTCAGACCACCAGTTCTGTTATCTCCACCATGCTATGGTTCTGGCCTACTACCACCTTCCTGTAAATTGATATTTTTTATGCACAACCCTTTAGAATATGTTAAATTTGATCTGCTATTTCAGCTTTATCGAATCTTCCAACAAATCGGCGATTACATCACAATCACATTTCCAAGGCATTACAACTTTCTTCAAATGTATCACAGGCAGGCGGTTTCTCTGTATTTAACAACAACCTTCAATTTTCTAAGGGTAACTCTTATAAGACCTCAATGGATCTTTCCAATGGAACAGTATCTGTGTCTACGAACTCAAGTAGTACAAATTCAATAGATCCGAGTTCCCCCATATCTGATACAGGTACATATTGGTATGCGCATTACATTATACATAATACTTTTTCTTATACATTATTTATTTTAATCAAAACACAAAATGAAAGATTGTAATTATTAGCTTTGTATCTTAGCTGCTAGTAGCTGCTAGCTATCAGGAAGGAGTAAATTGACAATACTCTCACAAAGAGCGAAATATCAAAAAAGTGAAAAAACGGAAAACCAGCAGTTACTAGCAACGAAATAGTAAAATGATGTTTTTTACAATCACTTCATATCAACAATTGAAAATCAATCAATAGAATTTTTATTTTCACAATTCAAAACAATAAAAATAAAAAACAATCAAAGCAAATGCGTCAAATATAGCTTGTATACACATGTGCTTTAACAGCTGTTTCTTCATATGGTAGCAGATATTTTCTGCTGGTAGAAATTCCACTAGCAGAAACTAGCAGCTCTCTCAGTTTTTTAATGCCCTCAACTTGTGCTCTCTTTTGTTAGTTTTTGCTAGATTTTGAGTTAAAAAACGCTTTTCCAGCAGAAACTTTGCTTTAAGATACAAACATATTAATTTTTTGGTCTAGTTTTTATATATAATATTGGTGATATATTAATATGCTTTCATACAGGATGGCTTACGAATCGTGTTACAAAACCAAACGTTATAACTTTATTTCTGTGTGTGTAATCGACTTACCTTTTTTTGTATTTGGCAGGTTATCATCTAATTTTTTTTAAAATTAATGCTTGGGTACCGAACAGAGGGTTTGCATAGTGCAGCGGTACCATGCTTTGCAGTCCGTCATTTCCATTAAAATTAAATTCAAACGTGATTTTGGCAGCTCTCTCCCGTGTAGATAGATTATTATGAGGTTTTTAAACATGTTTGACGAACCTGAAAGTATCGCAAGAAGACCGTACCATAGAGATCGGGTTCAAGAAACAATCGCGGCTGTTTCAATTCAGACAAATCCAAGAGCTTGGAGTTAGCAGACGGTCATTACAACGGTTAATTCATGATGACTTAAGCCTCTTTCCGTACAAAGTTCAAATAACAAGCCGGTTAAACCCTCTAGATTTGCCTATTCGACTGGAATTTTGCCAAAAAATTATTGAAATGGTCGAAGAAGACAATAACTTGATAAATTGCATGTTTTTGTCTGATGAGACCCATTTTGATCTAAACGGAAGTGTAAACAAGCAAAATTGCCGTATATGGAGTGAATCAAATTTATAAATAATCCACGAGAGGGAACTTCACCCAGAACGAGTCACTGTTTGGTGCGCAGTGTCCTCAAGGTTTTTTGTCGGGCCATACTTCTTTGAAGAAAACGATGTAACAGTAACTGTTAAAGGGGTACAGTTATTTAAAGATGTTGAATGAGTTTTTATACCCAGAACTGGGCCGAAGACGTATGTCTCTCAATAGCACTTGGTTCCAGCAAGATCGAGCTACTGCACACATATCCAAACCGGTTATTGCGAAGCTCCAACGAAAATTTGCAAACAAATTAATATCAAGAAACTCCCCTTTCCACTGATCCCCAAGGTCACCTGACTTGACTGCACCAGTTTTTTTTTGGTATTATGTCAAACAAGAGGTGTACAAGATAAAACCCAGCAATCTGAATGAATTGAAGCAGTTCATTAAATCGATAAGTGAGGCAATCCCGAATTCAATCCATCAGGCCACAATGAATAATTTTCTAATTAGGTGTCGCATATGCTTGGCTGAGCATTGAGGTCATTTACGGTCCAAAATTTTTAAAAATAATTATATAAAATAAAATTGATAAAAAAATTGCATTGATTAATTGATTAGAAAAAGATTTTACGGCTTGTTTTTGTAGTACAATTCATGAGCCACCCTGTATATGTACGTATGTATATTTTAAAACGGGTTTCCGATTGAATTATAAATTACACAGGCCAACAAAAAAAAATTTTTTTTTGCGCATGGGTTTTACTTAATATATAATAGTTTCATAAGCAAATACTAAAAGGAAAAGACGATAACAAATCGAAAATATTTGCTTTTTAAACAAGGGCTGTTGCCATCAAAAGAGATTGAAGAGCCCGGGATATAGTTTTTCTTGCATCGCTCATTGTGTACAGTATGGGTTTGCAAATTACAGAGAAATAATGTGTTTCATAATTTTGTTTCCTGTAATAACCAGTAAAAATATCTTCGAGGAGTTGTTAACGAGGCGCGGACTCGTTTTGCTATATTGGAGGCGAATTTATTACAATGAGAAAGAATAAGTAATATTTAACCAAAAATGTAAAGATTTGCGAAGCATATCAAGCTTACTTTAATCTACCTGGTTAAACACAGGACAAAAAAGAGACTCTTCATGTGTCATGTAACTTTCAGACATATTCTGGATGGTGACTTTATTTCCTTTTTTTATAATAATTATTACCTATTTCGATAACATTAATTGGAATATAATATTGTAAAGAATTTTTTTATAAATTGTCTACCTTGTAACTCACTCTTAAGTTCCTAGTGATCGAACTCAAGAGTTAAATAAAAGTCCCTATTTAATGCTCTACACTTATTCTTATTTCTAATTCCAACAACTTAACACTTATTACTCGTTATTCGAGTTTACAACTTATTGCTAATAGCTCTTTACTAAGCATCACTCTAATTACAACTATGTCTGTGACATATTTACAATACCAAACGCTGCAAGCCGTTCCAGATGAACTACCTTCATAGGTAGGTCATCCAACCCTCAGAGTTCATAGCCTTTATTGCTTATAATTTTAGTTCGTTGTCCCACCATAGCACGTATATCCCTCATCTCCTCTTCTAGGATGCTGTTGACTTCCTTAGCATTACTTCCTCCGTTGGCGTTAATTCCAAACTTCAAATCAATCGGTAGCCGAAAATCGTTACCAAAAATTACCCAGCTTCTGGCACATCTCCTGAATTAAAGCTGATTCAAAATTTATCCCTTGGTCAGAATGTAATTCTATTGGAATACCATGTCTCGATACCCAATTGCTTCCAGGTCAGGAATTGCGTATTGCTGAAATAGTCCATGTCTACTAAAACCTAATATATTGATAGGAAATGGACCAACTACATCCATGGTAATTCGTTCAGATGGAGCACCTGAATTGTTCTGCTACATCTGACCATGACTCCTTAGCCTCTACCCTTTAGCTGGAATGCACTCGGCACAATTGTCGATCCACTCCGTAACTGATTGAGGACAAGAAACCCAATAAAATATTTTGTTTTAATTTCTCCAAAGTTTTGGGGATACCCACGTGTCCTTCACTTGGACCATTGTGCAGTTCGTTGAGAACTTCGGAGTTCTTACTTTCCAAACAATAATCAGAGCTCGGGAACTTTGCCTATCTTCACCCATACGCGATGCAAGCAGCCAGACACTAACTTTAAACTATTCCATTGTGCCCAATATGCCTTTGCGACTGGACTTTCTGTAGCTATTTCTCCTCTCGTTGGAATTTTGCTCATCTCCATTCAATGTATTACACATTTTCTGATGCTTATCGGACCACTATACTGTCTTTTTTAGCCTCAGAAAGATAGGAAAGTCATAACTTTGGAGTCTTTCAATCCACCGTGGCAACTGTTATTGTCGGACATCTATAATGTATTCTTTGGCCTCAGAAATATAGGAAAATCGTAACTTTGGAGTTTTTCAATCCACCGTGCCAACTATTTTTCTGGGTTCCTAAATTATAGATGTCATTTTAATGCTACATGATCTGTCCTCACCCGAAATCGCTAGCCATAAAGGTACTTATGAAAATTTTTGAGCACTTCACGAAAGCCAGTAATTCCCTCCGAGTTACACAATAATTTCTCTATGGCTTGTTTATTGTCTGGCTGGACTAGCATCCGTATCCAAATTAAGCGCTGATCCTGGAACCGGATATGCTAATATTGGCGCAGTACTTAAACTTTTCTTCAGAGTTTGGAAACCCACTTACTGTTTATTATTCCATTCAAAATTTCAAAATTCCAAAAATTTCAAACGAATCGTCGATAATAAATACGAAGTCCAAGGAAACTCCGCAATTCAAGTAAATTTTTAGGAGTGTGCCTCTCTTTTACTGCCTCTGTCTTTGCATTAGTTGTGCAAATGCTATCCGTGGTCACTTTGTGTCCTAAGTAGCTTACTTCCTTTATGAAAAGGGAACACTTCCTCGGGCTCAGCTTTAGACCAGCGTTAGCTATCCGTTGGAAAACCTCTTCAAAGTTCTTCAGGTGTTCATCGAAGGTTTTACAGAACACGATAATATTGTCGAAGTATACCAGACAGGTCTTGCACTTCTTTTAAGTTTCTCAACTACAGGTGAGCTCCATGGACTCTCTGACCGCTTTCGCTCATTTCACATATGGTGTGGCTTACAACTTCACGGTTTGTTAAAGGAACGCTTCGAGAAGCCTGGCGTATTGCGCTTATTTCGCTCGAGATGTCGTTTTTATTCATGGAATCTTCCTCAAGACTTCTTTCGCAATTTATCACGGCCTCAATCTCTGGACACTGCAATAATATAGCTCCTTTGGAGATTTTGATTGGAGACTTGCACTCATTAATTATTATTAACTCTTATAGAACACGTTTATCTTGTCTTGTCATATGCAATGTTTTCCTATAAGTAAGTTTTGCGTAGATTCTTCTGTGGCGTCAAAAACCCACATCTTGTTTGTCCCATAGTCTTCATCAATTTATGCCCAAATAACTGCTTCTGATTTTGGTGAAATCTGCTGGCTCTCTGTTATTGTCACTCGTCTAACGTTGTACTTGTTATCGTAACCGAAGATTATGATGATTATGATTCCTTCATTCGCTAGAAAGTCTACCTTAATCATGACTTTTTCGACAATATCTACCACCATGAAATTGTGTACCACCTCTTTTTTTTAATCACGATCTCGCACGTCAGTTTTCCGAGAACTTGGGTATCTTTGCCCCAGCTAACGGTCTCACTTTTTTATTAACCAGATTCTAATTCTACTTGATGAGCTTTAAATGTTCGATTGCTAAGTAGCGATGCAGTTTCTTGTGTCAGAGCATACGGAACGCTTTCCGCAAATGTCATTTTTGGACATGCTAACAGAGCGAAGCGTGTAGTGTTATCTCGTATTCCATTAACGAAGGTTTGCAAGTAGCTAAGAGAGCTAACCTCTCAATCTCTTTAGAAAACTCCCGCAAAAGCTCATTGGGTTTCTAGCGATGATTTTGCAACTTGATTGAGAAGATCTGCTTCCTGTGCTCACTACCTACCGTTTTTCTCTAATATCTCCGCTGCAGATCCTTTTTAAGATAAAAAGAATGCAGTTAATTTATCTTCAGCGTTCCAATTATTAGAAGAGGTCGTCTTTTTGAATTGAAGCTTAAAAACATGGTAAGGAGTGTGCCATCAAATAATGGTTTTTCCTTGGCAGAAGCTGTTGAAATAATTGGCCGATTAGGTCAGGTCCCCGGCGGTATCCGTGTATCCATATCTTTTAACTTTGCTCTTTCATTTGTGCTGATATACGTGTATCTTGCGCTTTTCTTTTTTCTACTTTTAAATTGTGTCGTTATTTGCGTTGACATCTGCGACATTGCAGTCAAACACGTGTCCATGTCCATAACTTTTTATGAGCATTCAGCTTCGTCAACACTAATGTTTTCGGCTTCCATGTCCTCTCGCAACCGTGATTGTAATTCGGCTTCAATTCTATTAGTTGTCAAACCACGTTGCTCCAGCTCCTTTTTTAATTATCTTAAGGTCGTTAAACTTAGCCATTTTCAAATAATTATCTCCTTGGGGATTTATTTGATAATCCCAGTTCTGACACCAATCATAACGGATTGCTCGATAAATCGTCTACCTTTTAAATTACACTTGAGGTCGATCACTAGATTGTTAAATAAAAGTTACAATTTAATTCTATACACTTATCTTTATTTCTAATTCCAACAACTTAACACTTATTACTCGTTATTCGAGTTTACAATTTATTGATTATAGATTAATAGCTCTTTATACGGCAACACCCTAATTAGAGCTGTGTCCGGCAGCCTTTATATAGTAGATTGTTAACAAAACTTCGCCACGCGAACATTTTGGCAACTACGAATTACGTTTTATTGTAGTCTGATACCGAGGTGAAAAAAGAGCAATGAAGTTGGCAGGGCCGAGAATTTGGAGGGAACCAGGTGATCATCTTTCAAATATTTGAAGAATTTTTCCCTAAAGATGCATATGTTACATTCTCATTTAGATAAATTTAAAGACAATATGAGAGATTATTTGCAGAACAAGGAGAACCCTTTCATTAAAATATAATGCAATTTAAGAGACGTTACCAAGGCCAGTATACAGTATTGGGGACTATATTTAGGGGTTAATAAAAGAAACTTCTGCGGAACATTTCAGGAAAAGTAAAACTGTTCAATTTCAAAGGAGGTTTTGGAGTCTATTTTAAAATGTCTATTGCATATTTTAATAAATTATTTATAGTATGTAAAATTTTTGTGTATTTTTCTTGAGTTGAATTTTTTCTTTTTTTATACATAAAAGCAAACGCAGAACTTTTTTTATTCTTACTCTTATTTACAATGCGCGAAATAAGTATGTGGGTCAACCGTTTTTCGCTTTGGATATTTTAGAATCCACGCTACAGTTAATGTTATATGAGTTATTAATTTCTAACTACTAACATAAATACATCATTCAACAAACAATATTCTTTGTTTGTGAAAATTAAAATGGGACAAGTAATTCTGTATCAGTTTAATAGTCTATATGTTTTTTTATACTCTCGCAACCTGTTGCTACAGAGTATAATAGTTTTGTTCACCTAACGGTTGTTTGTATCACCTAAAACTAATCGAGTTAGATATAGGGTTATATATATATAAATGATCAGGATGAAGAGACGAGTTGAAATCCGGGTGACTGTCTGTCCCTCCGTCCGTCCGTCCGTCCGTGCAAGCTCTAACTTGAGTAAAAATTGAGATTTCTTTATGAAACTTGGTATTCATGTTTCTTGGTATCGTGAGACGGTTGGTATTGCAAATGGGCGTAATCCACTGCCACGCCCACAAAACGCCATTAATCAAAAACAAATAAATTGCCATAACTAAGCTCCGCAATAAGATACAAGACTGTTATTTGGTACACAGGATCACATTAGGGAGGAGCATCTGCATTTAAAACTTTTTTAAAAAGTGGGCGTGGTCCCGCCTCTAATAGGTTTAGTGTGCATATCTCCTAAACCGCTAACGCTATAATAACAAAATTCACTGGAAGCAAATTTTTTTAGCACTTATATTGACGGTGTGAAAATAGTTGAAATCGGGTGGCAACTGCGCCCACTCCCCATATAACGGTACTGTTAAAAACTACTAAAAGCGCAATAAATCAAGCACTAAACACGCCAGAGACATTCAATTTTATCTCTGGAATGGTATGAGATGACTTTATAGGAACCGCGTTCAAAATTAGACAGTGGGCGTGGCACAGCCCACTTTTCGGTGAAAACCCATATCTCGAGATCTGCTTAACCAATTTCAACAAAATTCGGTACATAACGTTCTTTTCATATTTCTATATTATAGTGGTCGAAATCGGAATACAAACACGCCTATTTCCCATATAACACCATTTTAAATTCCATCTTATTCTTTCACTTTCCACTATGCATATCAAGCAACAATGATTATATCGTGGTAAAACTTTGCGTGAATAATACGTTTAAAGTATGCCACCTTGTGACCAAAAATTGTCTAAATCGAACCAAAACTGTTCAAGCCACTAAGTACTAAATATGTGGACCCCAACCGAAAATATCAGCCAATCCACAAAGAAATCTCAAACGAGTATACCATTTGACTTTGCGAGAGTATAAAATGTTCGGTTACATCCGAACTTAGCCCCTTCTTACTTGTTTTTTTGTAAATTTTTGAAACTCAGATATGATTATTGTAATTAATATGACCTTTTTTGTTATTTATTACTCAAGATATACGAAATGACATTCCAGTTTCTTTGAATGCCAGTATTTAGGATTGGTCCTCAATAGTAAGTTGGGTACCGCGTGGCGTTTCGGCATAAATATTGATTTGAAGCAAGCGTTATATTTATTTATGCGAATAGTTACCATCTTTGATATAAATATACAAGAAAGCACGTATCTGGTCAATCAATTTGCAAACGATGTGCAGGGAATTGCGCCAACAATGAACTGTCCCATATAGTAATAATAATAATAATAATATCTAGGCCGAAAATTATGAAAAATTTCACACCAACAATATTACATGTAATTTTTGAACTAAGTGTTCATACCTTTAAGTTAAGTAAGGCCACTGAAAATATGTCCAACACCAAAAACCAAAATAGCGGTGAATCAACATACTTGTATTACTATTGCATTCAAATATAGTCCCATATATTTATTTCACGCACTGTATTTGCTGTCTTGTCAATATGATATACTTCCTCGCAATATTATTCTTTTTTTTAATGACCTTACCTTTATTTAAGTTTTAGATAAAAATCCTGTAGGAGGAAGTGTTTCGTCTATAAGTTCGACCAGTTCTGTCCATGACAATGATAATGATGGTAAATAAACTCACACATACATATATCGTACGTCAGCTACATTCGAAGTTTTCATTATTTTTAGTATAAATAAACACGCACATTAAAAAAATTCTATGGTAAAATGGTGGTTAGAACACTGGCAAGTTCGTCGTGAAATTTGTAGACAGATATAAATGTGCTGGTACTACAAAATTATGAATGTCAGTATTCAAACCACTGCATAGTTCACCAGAAGCTCTGCTTTGAAAAAAATCAGATTAAAAAATCTAAAGCTATGATAATTACTAGATTTATAACTTTTGAAAAAAATTTCAAACTTCTTAAAATACAATGTACTGATCGTACTCGCTCTTATAGCGTTTTCTTTTCTCGATGAAAAAGTGAAATAACCAACTCATTTGCAATATCTACTAATGAGCTTATCAAACTGATCGATTCTCCACAATTAGTAGAAGAACTTGATTTTAAAAATATAACAAAAACGAAAAATAAACATCGCGTGTTTTTTTTTTTTTGTGAGAAAAGAAACCGCTATTAGTATCTAATTAAAATATGTTATATGTAAATTTAACATCCATTGCCCGAGATTTACAGAGTAATGTTATTTGTACGAATTTTGACTTAGTTTATTTCAATTTGTAAAATAGACATGGATTAAAAGTGGTTTCATAAAACGTCTGACCTGCGTTATTAAATATACAATATTTTATGTAGCTTTAAAAAATATGATTACCATAAATTTGTGTCTTTAAGATGATTCCATCGATGTTACCAATGATGAAGAGCCTCTGCGGAATGAAAAACTAGATTGCCATTTTACGATACCGACATTTGTACCACAAAACTTGTACGTTCAGCCGCATGAGACAGTTTATGAAACCAGTGCTCGCCTTCTCTTTATGGCCGTAAAGTGGGCAAAAAATTTACCAAGTTTTGCGAGTCTGTCCTTCCGAGATCAGGTAATCTTTTTTATAAATAAAACTTAAGTGATTACTAATGCTGGCAAAACAATATAGTGTAGGTATATGACCAAGTAACTAGCATCTTTTGAAATATAAATCTGAATCTAATATCTTATTCATATATAATACATATATTCACATATTATAATAAGTAAACTTTATTTTAAGAAATCAGAAAATTTTGAAAAATGGTGAAAACGAAATTGAAATATTAATTAACTGACCTGAATTGGCTGACCTTATCAGAAATTTTGAAATACGGTCTAAGTAATGGTATATATGGTATAACATCATATTAGGTGTTTTTTTCATTACCAAAAAACAGAAATATTAGGTGAAGAACACAATATTTCTCTGTGCAAACCGCCATTGTATATCAATTGAGCCTTAAATTAAATTAATAGTAAAACCTCAAACGTTCATCGGATATTAATAAAATCTTTTTATATGTAACTAATTTCTATTACAATTAAACGCTTTAATATATAACTAAAGTGAAACATGCCAAGTGCAAATACTAAAATCGTTTCTTACTTTAATCCATACAATGGCTTCACTACAATAACAAATAATGAAAAATGATGTGTCCATATGCCGTTTGTTACTCATAGACTGTTGAATCTCTAGGGTCGACTCTTGAACAACCCGCATTATATTGTGCAACAAACTATATTGCCCTTATTAAGCTTTCTTGAGTACCCAACCTAATGTAGTGAATGTATTACTTGTTTTCTTTTTTATTTGTTTTTACACTCTAAATACCTATTAAAGGTATTGATCACTACCTCCAAATACTAAGGTTTGGTTGTTGTCCCTAAGAGGTCACTCCACAATGTAATTCCTGGATTAGTGGATAGGTGAACTGTGACTATCTTCCTGTATAATTAATTTTTTTTTATTTACAATATGTATAAGGTATTATGTTTTCTCTTTACTTAATTTTAGGTCATTCTCTTAGAAGAATCATGGTCGGATCTTTTTCTACTCAACGCCATTCAATGGTGCATTCCCTTAGACCCTACTGGATGTACTTTATTCTCAGTTTCAGAACACTGCAATAATTATGACACTACGCAAGAAACTGAGAATTGTGTTACTAAAGAAGAAGTAAGTTGGTATATAATTATTGATTTTATACCATTGTATTTTCATATTTATATACAAGTATCGGGTATTATTTCCCAATCATGTAAATAATTTTCAGTAAAAAAAAAAAACAAAAAATACTTTATAGGTACAAATAATTCCCTCCATTACTTTCAGTACTATTGAATATTTTGAAATTGTTATTTAACACATTTTTTAAAGCATAAAATTTTCAATTTAATTTAATTTTCAATAATACATATGGGATAATATAATATCTAATATAAGTATTAATATATTTAAATATTTTCTAGGTAGCCGCCAGTGTACGGACATTACATGAAATTTTCTACAAATATAAGGCAGTTTTAGTTGATCCCGCTGAATTTGCATGCATGAAAGCAATAGTTTTATTTCGGCCCGAAACCCGGGGGCTCAAAGACCCCGCCCAAATAGAAAACCTCCAAGACCAAGCTCATGTAAGTATTAAAAATGGGTTTTACACACTTATAATAACGTTCATTAACATATTACATTTTTTATGTTATTATTAATGTATATATACCTATATAATCGAAATTAAGTTCTTATATGCAAGCTTCTTTATTTGTGAAGTGTATTCTAGCATCGGTTCAACCAAGGTTAACGTTTTTATACTCTCGCAACCTGTTGCTACAGAGTATAATAGTTTTGTTCACCTAAGAGTTGTTTGTATCACCTAAAACTAATCGAGTTAGATATAGGGTTATATATATATAAATTATCAGGATGAAGAGACGAGTTGAAGTCCGGGTAACTGTCTGTCCGTCCGTCCGTCCGTGCAAGCTCTAACTTGAGTAAAAATTGAGATATCTTTATGAAACTTGGTATTCATGCTTCTTGGTAGCGTGAGACGGTTGGTATTGCAGATGGGCGTAATCGGACCACTGCCACGCCCACAAAACGCCATTAATCAAAAACAAATAAATTGCCATAACTAAGCTCCGCAATAAGATACAAGACTGTTATTTGGTACACAGGATCACATTAGGGAGGGGCATCTGCAGTTAAACTTTTTTTTAAGTGGGCGTGGTCCCGCCCCTAATAGGTTTAATGTGTATATCTCCTAAACCGCTAATGGTATAATAACAAAATTCACTGGAAGCAAATGTTTTTAGAACCTCTAATGACGGTGTAAAAATCGGGTGACAAGCCCGCCCACTCCCCATTTAACGGTACTGTTAAAAAATACTAAAAGCGCGATAAACCAAGCACTAAACACGCCAGAGACAGTAAATTTTTAATTAAAGTATGCCACCTTGTGACCAAAAATTGTCTAAATCGAACCAAAACTGTTCAAGCCCCTAAGTACTAAATATGTGGACCTCAGTGCCTATAGTTGACCTTCTACCGAAAATATCAGTCAATCCACAAAGAAATCTCAAACGAGTATACCATTTGACTTTGCGAGAGTATAAAATGTTCGGTTACATCCGAACTTAGCCCTTCCTTACTTGTTTTGTTTAAATATTGTAGATGTTATGATGACTTCAGGTTTTGCGATATTTCATTTTCTGATATTTATGTGGAAGTTATTAATGTAATAAAAGAAATTTAATTTCATAATGTTTATTGGTGATCTATAATTTACCTTGTTTCACATGGAAGCCTATGGAAGATTTTGGACTCAGGTTAGCTGATAATTTTATTAAGTTTTCTACAGTTCAGTTTAGTTTAAGTATAATTTTTGAGTTTTATTAAAGGATTATTTGCCATCCTGCTTTAGATGGCTGTAGAAATTATTGGCATTCTTCTTCTATATATTGTTATTTATATTCGGTTCAACTTTGGAAAAACTAATTCAAAAAAATAAATTAGGAACTATATAATTTAACTTAGGTTAATTATAACGAAATTATTTAAATAAGTGTTTGTTAATTCCAGAATTTAGTTTATTTGAAAAATATGATCCAAAACATATTGTTACGAGAATACAATGTACAACATTTTATCTTCTTTCAGAGTTTCTGGCGTAGAAATAGTTTAAGTATTCAAAAAAAATTTTTCTAATTGGATTTCTCAAAATTCAAATTATTTTTACAGTTATTGTCAATATAGTTGGGTGTCAAATCGACCGAGTTAGTCTTAACTTAAAACTTTAAACGCTTGATTCTCGAAACTACTTTTTTCGATGCCGTCGTCTTGATATCTCAAGTTCTAATCAATCGATTTACTAAAAATTCAGCACGAATGTGGTTTAAATATCTCTCTATCGTATGAATCAACTATTAATTTGAAATTCAATTTTTAATTTGTAATATATTTAAAAACTCGAGAAAGTTTAGAAATTAGTGAAAAAATCTTTATTTTTAAGTAGCCAATTTATGATATAATTTTTCAGTTTTGTTGGTTACGATAATGACATTTGTACTTATCAAGAATCCGTCATTGTTTTATTTTTGAAATGACCACATCGGTAGAAACGTGAGAGGGGAAAACTCTCTTGCCTTTCATGACTCGACTAATTCCGCATTTATGCGGATTACGCCCTTCGCGTCGGTTCGGGGGAGAAAAGGTTGGGTTTTTTTTTTTACTAAATTTATCTCGGAAGCAAAAAGTAGTAATGACTAAGTGAAGAGAAGTTTATAAAATGAGTTAATATGATGCAAATATTGTTGAAATTCATTTACAATTTTGTCGAATTATTAGTTTTTAATTTCAATCTCAGTCAACCTCTAGCTGAGCACTGTTAAAACTTTTCACAGCATGAAACACAGCAAAAAAAGTACATGTTAAACATTTGCCGCTAACCACTAATAGTGAGCGCATCTTGGTACTTTCTGGAAAGTGGATAGCATTAGTAGTTTAGTGTATGCCAGCTTATTTGTGGAATGCTTATCCAAAGTTCAAGTTTTTTGATTTGATCGATTCCAAAGTTCAATTTGAAATTGTTTAGAGTACATTATTAGTTACATGTAATAAAAGAAGCCTATGGTTGTTAATATTTTCACACAGATGAGATAATTTGATTAAAATAGTTCTGTTTGCCGACTCACAGCTTTGAATAAAAAAATTTTAAAAGAAAAACTGATCTTGTGGAAATGTATTATTAATGAAAACTTCAAATTCTATTGGCTTTTACTCGGACCCGCGCTCATTATTCACGTCGATCAGACAACTTTAAACGCGTTTTTTCAAAAGTAGTGTTTTTTTTAGTTTTGGGGCGATTCTGAAATAAATATTTAAATTGTTGTAAAAAACATCTTTTTAATTCGCTGTCATTTTGCCAGATTTTTAAATGTTCTAAACAGCTTGTGTCTAGACTAGGGTCTAGGTTTGTAAATATTAAATACAATTTTTTTTTTTGGTTTCAAAGTTCTGTAGCTGAAATTTCTTGCCACGAAGTCGAATACGTCGCACCGGTCAAGAACGCGTCAAGGTCAAATTAAAAAATATATATTGTTTTTTTCTATTTCTAAGTTTAAGAATAAATCAATGAAATAAACAAAATTTGGTTCAAATATTAATTGTAGTTTTTTTGTTATCCATCGTCAAGCATAGGCCTGAAATTTGAGCTCGAAGCTGCCTGAAGGGGCCGTTTTAATAATAGCATATCGGTGAATCGCGAAAAGTGCTTAGTACGTACTTATCGTACGTATACATGGGTGAAAAAATTGGGTATTGTTACTTGTAGATTGGTACAATGATTATAGTAAAACAACAAACTAATCTCATGGAATTTTACTAGTTTTTGGGGAGAGCGGATTTTAAATATTTGATTAGTGATATAGGTAATTATAGGAATGGTTGAAATAAATATCATGCCTGTGATATACTTGTAGTCTTACGTTTCGCCTCTAGTTCAAATTATTATGGAAATACATAGGTATGTACATCCCTGCTAGTACTACTATAATTAGGATGTTTATCTTTGCTCATCTTCTACTTTACTCAAATTGCCTAAAGGAGAGCCAACATGGTTAAAATAATTAATATTTTTAGGATTTTATTTGGTGAACAGAACGAGAGTACAAACATAGTTTCTCTTGAATTTTACAACAGCTCATAATTTTCTTACAAAAGTATTTTTACGAGTTTTAAATTTTAATGTTTAATGTTTTCTTCTAGGTGATGCTATCTCAACACACAAAATCGCAGTTTCTTACACAGATCGCACGATTTGGTCGTCTACTCTTGATGCTGCCTCTTTTACGAACTGTAAATTCTCATAAAATCGAACTAATATATTTTCAACGTACAATTGGAAATACGGCAATGGAAAAAGTGCTCTGCGATATGTATAAGAACTGAAATGATGGCTTTTTAAATATATTTGTATACATAAATATGTACATACCTACATATACTAATATTTCTTACAGTACGAAGATGTGTGTTCCTATACCAAGAATAAGTAATTATATAATAGAAGAGCGGTTTGTATGTATGATTATTTCCGCTCTTAACTTTTATCTTAAAAGAAAAGGAAGCTAACCTTTAATCTGAAATCCGGTTGTCTAATTGCATACATACATATTGCATCATACTTAAAATTCTGTTTTGACTAATGGTGCGGAAAATTGTGTGTCTTATTGTTAAAATCATCTGTTATATCACGTCATCCAATTAGGTTCAAGTATCCGTCAAAAGCTTAATTTAAAAGACTTCTCGCACATATTACAGTTTGAAAAGATGTTAAATGTCACGATGTATAATTGCAGCAATCGAAAAAATACTTTACACAAATTGTGTATCTCATATATAACATCTGTGATTCTAAAATAATCGAAACCTGTACATATCTTTCTCTACTATATACGACGGTTTACTGTATATCGTCATCTAAAATGCAATACAGCTTTTTTCTTTTCGTTAATTTACAGAAAAAGGTAAAAATGGTATAAAATAGAAACTACTCACATTGAAACAAAATTTGAATTATGCTTACAACATATGTATGTACGTAAATGATGTAGTGAAACGTAATCAATAAAAAATCAATTTCGAATTTTTGGATGATGCGTTGTTTTGCATTTTAGTTGACGATATATATGTAAGTATATTGTTTAATAGAATGTGAAATAGTGAGAGTCTTGTTTGAAGTCAAAAATTAATGAAAGCGGTCTATATACAAGTATATCGATTTCTTTGAATACCCATTATAATGATTTTCTTAACTACATAAATTAATAACTAATTTATCTTTATTTCGAATATTTTAGTTAGCGCGGGAGATTTATCAAAAGTAAATAAAAGAGAAAATTACAATGTTTGATATTAAAACTAGAAAATGAATGTAATGAAGTCAGTATAAGTTAATATGACACCAAAAATAACAATTGTTGAAGTCATTCGTATACCTAGAAATATTTGATATATATTTGGGATGGCCGGTAAAATCGTTCAATTAACTTCTTTCACCCAGACGCGTTATATTGTTGATTCTTTATTAAATATCGTAGTCTCAAGTTACGACCCACTTATAGCATTCACCTAAATCAAAAGATTAAGCTATAGTGCACATTTTTGTTGTATTCAAAAATATTAATATTGGGAAATTCTCATGACAGTACGACTTTATAAATATTCTTATAACCATATAAAATTTGGCGCCATATAAATACTTTCTAAAAACTAAATTGCGGAACACACACGTATGTAAATAAATACAAATATACGTACAGTCTTCTATAAAGTTTATACCTCCATAACTACCAACATTATAAAAGTTTGTGAGTAATAGAATATTTGTTAAAAATACTGTTAAAACTTCAAGTTCTAATAAGTAAAAAATTAAAATGTATGTATACCGTATGTATTAGGTAGTAGTTTTCATTTACAAAATAAATAAGTCAAAGAATGCCTTACCGAAACTTTTTTGCATGCGTTATTTAAACCTAAACCCAGAATTGTGTCGTATTCGTTTTTTTATGTATTCGCAATTTCATGCAACAGAGTACAATAGTTTTGTTCATCTAACGGTTTATTGCAACACCCAAAACTAATCAAAATAGATATGATCAGGATAATTAGTTGAGTGCCGTGCGGTTGTCTATCCGTCGGCCCGTTCGTTCGTTCGTCTATGCAATCGATAACTGGATTAAAAAATAAGATTTCTTAATGAAACTTCGTATATGCGCCTTGGCAATTACTATATATCCACAAAATGCCCTCAATCGAAAACCTATAAAATGCTACAACTGAGCCGCAAATGAGGATACGAGTTGTAATTTGTAAATTTCACACCCAACATGGTACGGAAGGGCTTTACAGAAATCGGTGTACAAATCAGACAATTATGTGGCAGCGACCAGTTTTATGTGAAATTTCATAAATCGGACAACAATCCCCTTTACTTTACAGTACATATATGGTAAATCAGTCATCAATGAAAAGAGTGGAATTCTACTTAAATATCCCGGATACAAAGCAAAATATAATAATAAAACTTAGTGAGTTCATCCATATTAATATTATAAAAGTGAATGTAAGTATTATATGTTGGTAACGCTTGTACGCCGATACCACGTAACCGATAATCATGAAACTTTATAGCCATACGAGTATGTCTAATGGTATTAGAAAGTATTTTTTATTAAAAAGAAAATATGAATATTTTTTACGAATTGTGAAAAACATTACTTTGGGAGATCATATCTGTTTGTAAAATAAATTTGAAAATTAAAAAAATTATTTTGACAGATATTATTGTTTGTCGAAAAGTTTTCAAAATGTAACAAAACAAAAATTCATCAAAAATAAATCAGACAAAATTGGGGATTTATGGTTATTACCACCAACAAGAAAAGGATCATCGCTTTATATTATTCGTTCATATACGATGTATTTACTTATTGGTTTTTGTTAATAATTTCTAATACTTATTTAACACATTCAAAGCGAGCAAATACCAAATATGCTGGTGATCGAAAACCTATAAATCGCCATAACTAATCGGAAAATTAAGATACAAAACAATAATTTAGTAGAGTGGATCGCAGTAGTAGTGGCCATCTACATATTCGTTAGGAAATGTCTCGTTTATTAAGTTTATTTGTCTTTAAATTTCTGTCCGTAATTATCTTCTTCGATATTTGGGTATTGGACTTTTTCAGTTAGGAAATGTCTCGTTTATTAAGTTTATTTGTCATTTAATTTCTGTCCGTAAATATCTTCTTCGATATTTGGGTATTGGACTTTTTCAGTTTCTGAATAATTGATTGAAAATTTCTTTGTAGTTGTGGTGGATTTTTATTATTTGAAAGTCCGCTTCTAAGGCTTCCCTTGCGTATTTAGGAGCAATAGGTCTGTTCGCATAGTTAGTATTAGCTAACTTAACATAGGCATCGATCTATATCAATAGGTTGCGGTGGTTTTAGGACGGTTGGCCTAGGTAGCGGAAGTTTAAAATCATTATTTCCGTACCGTTTCCCAAAATCCTTTGTCTAGTTCACCCAGAGAACTTAAAACAATGAGAAGGTGCAAATTGAATTTTGTATGATGCTCGATTGGTTGGCTGAAAATTTGAGATCAAGGAGTTCACCACTTTCTGTATAGTTTTGCTGTTATTTAACAGAAATGAGAATTTTTAACAACGTTCTCTGTCAAAATACGTATCTACCAATATAAAGAGAAAAATGAAATGAAATGAATGAGAAAACAAAAAATACAAATGCCACTTCACATATGCAAGATTATTTTTTGCCATATAAACGATTTTTATGATGAAAAATTGATAAATTATTATTTTTTTGCACAAATGCTACATTGATAAAATGTGAAAGATTATGCAAAAAATGATATTTTACTATTTTCATAATTTTCTAATTTCAATTTTTACAGAATTAATAATTTATGTATGTACATCAATATGTTATATTATATAATATAATAATATATTATCAATTATCAATAAATGCATGTGAGCGCACTGCTCTATATGTAAGTATGTATGTACAAATATGCATATGACCGCGCAAAATTAGTAATGCATACACAAATCTACATACACTTAAGCGTACAAATGTAAGTACGTCAGCCAATAGGAAAAATACAAACATTGTTGTACAAAAACAACAATTGTCTCAAATAGCATCAGCACAAGAAATCAATATGGCAGCCAAATTGACAAATCCTAAATTTGTAGTAAATCACACACCAACAACATTTTCATTCATGAACGCTGGCGCACAAGCAATAAGCTAAGTCGTTTCATTCATAAAAGCAAACGCCTTACACATCTCCCCGAGCATGCGTTTGCCTACAAGCGTCTTTTCGCGACGATGGCAAAAGCTAAAAATCATAAATTTAACAAATTTCTGATATTCCCTCTAGAAGGGAAAAGTGACAACCCCTCAAATATGAGTATTAAAATATTTTGGAATAAAAGTGACAACATAGTTTTAGACATAGACATTGTTTTAAGTTCTCTGGTTCACCAATATTTTGCCTATATGCGCTATTAATTATTTCATCTGTACAGTTAAGTTCGCTATGTCTAGTGGGCATGATGTCCTCGGTGAGGCATATATACATTTCTCACTATTCTTCTAATCAGAACTTATAATTCTGGTATCGGTACGGGTACGGAAGGGATATCTATTATTGGGGGACGTATCCGGTTGCTCGGGTTAGACATTTTGCTATTTTTTGTACACTGTTAATATTGATATTGAAATGTATTTATTTTGTTATACATTTTTTTATTTTTTTAAATTTTAAGTATTTTATTATAAATTATTATTATTTTTTTTGTTTTGTTAGGTGGTTAAAATGTATCCTAATTATATCCGTTCTCTAGAGCGTCTCCCCGAAGGTGGTAAATCGCATAGACGTTGTATTTTTTTTAAAACCAGAGTGTTCCTCCGAAAGTGGTGAAACGTGGACTTTTCAATGGTTTTGAGTTATAGCTGTAATTAGAAGCTTGTGGTTATTATTAGTTTAATTTCCAATTATATCCGATCTCTGGTCCTCGCCAAGGTGGCGAATCGCAGAAAAGTTTTAAATAAAAAAATATTTAATATTATATTTGATCTCTGGATGTTTCTTTCGAAGGTGGTGAATCGCAGAGATCCTTTTTAAAATTTTATTATAAATACTTGAGTACCTTTTTTATTTAAATTTGCTTTTATTTCATATTTAATTTAATGTTTCATTAAATTAACTGATTCTTTACTTGGGTTCCTCTGATGGCCCCTTTTAGGAACGCTTCTTTACCTCAGAAATGGGTAAGAGATCGACAATCAATTCGGAGTAGATCGGCTAGGAGTAGGTCCATTCGATGCTGGAAGATCAGCTTGGAAGACTGATAGAAAAACTTTTAACTGCCGGCTTCTTTAGGCTGTCTGATGTTTTCGTTTTTTTCCACACGTGGGTGTCCAAATTCGTTGGGCGCCGCTTAACTTACTTTTTGTTTACTTACTTGACCGGTCAAAAATATATCGCATACAAAATAGTGTAATTTTCCCGCTTAATTGAATCTGGTTAATTGGTTTTCCCGCATAGTTGGTTAAAAATATGTGTTATTGAAAATAGATATACCTTTAATTTCCCCCGGTTAATTGCACAAAAAACTTTTGTTAAAAAAATAATATGGCAATGCTGCACTTAAATATTTCACAGCATTTGGAATAAACAGCAGAGTACGTAGATTTAAATAAATTTAAATAAATCTACGTTCTCTGGTTGAGTTTGAGAAAGATCAGAAGTATATATGGGATAATCACGAAAGCAAGGGCGGGTTGGTGAAACCAACTGAAAAAATAATGGAAGAGATAAAAATATAAATGGGAAAACCATTTGAATATCAAAAAATTTTATCCAAAAACATTTCGAAGAAGCCAATTACCTAGATTGTAGTGACAAAATTAAATGTTTGTGGTTTAGATGTCGAATGTATCTATTTTCAATTTAGATAACTTAATAGAGATATATCAGATACAATTTTTTTGTTTTTCAAATTCGTCGCACTGTACGTATGACGATATTGGTTTAATGACGTCAAGGTTGTCGTAACCTTGTATTCTATGAACGTTGGATACATGGAATAAATGAAAATATTTTTGAAATTCCATCAGTCTACACAGAAATTAAAAACGTCATAGTTTCATTAAGTTTATTCATAGCTCTTATTTACTTCAAAGATATTTCTTTTAAACATATACATATATATCAATAGTTCTTGTAGCCCTTATATATCTAATATAAATATTTTTGAACTTCAGCGTGACTTTATACCGCATATGTGAGTTATCTCAATGAAAATGAGAGAGCGTGTTTTACTCATAACAAGATCAAATCGGGTGAAAATTTTCCTTAGCCCCGTGTAACTAATATCATAATTTTCGAACATTCTCCTGACTTTACTCCATTTGATTGGTGATGGTATGTGAGGTACCTTAATGAAACAGTGGGAGCATTTTATTAGTATGTGGCATGTTAGTAGTATGTGGTATTGGAAAAAATTTATAAAATCGGGTTAATACTACCCTCAAATTCCATATACTACTTGTAATTTACTTTTCGTTATTCTAACCAGTTTTATGCCGAATATGTCGGTCAGTGAGTATTAAGATTTTTTTTTATATATAAAATTACTTTAAAATATGTTCTCGAGTATAGCTGAGCAATGTCAAAATTAATATATTTCTCTATTCACAATATATATAATATATGATTTCCGTCTTTCCACCTGACTTTACACCGTTCCGGTTGATCAACGTGATATTTTAATGAAATTAAGTGGAAAAGATTTCTTAAAAATTATGTGGTTTGACGCTGAATTATAATGAAATTAGAATATACTAAGTCTAAACCTCACACTTTCATATAATGAATTCCGATTCTCTGGTTGACGTTTGCCACCTAAGCTTAT